TTCTTTGAGGTTAAGGGTGTTGATAACTGTAGTTGGGTACAAATCAGCGGGATTCCTGGCTGGAGTTTTCTCCAGGCATACACCTACAACATTATAAAAATCGATTCTTAAGGGTAAAGAGTGGGCCGAGGTGTCCACTGTCGATTTCTGGGTAATTGTTTATATTTAATTTTCATCATTCTCAATTACCCTTTTTCCTAACGTTTGTACATGTGTTTGTAGGTACGATGACAAGCCTATCCGTAACTGAACAAAAGAAGTTAATGCAGAAAGCTCGAGCAGCCCGGAAGGGAGCCGGCAACTCTATATTGCCAAAGTCGGACCCGAACGGGTTATAAGCCCGTCAACCAAAGTGGATAAGGAGTACAAATACTAAGACTCCTCTTAGTAAGGGTGAAATTCAACCCAATGCTCCTCAGACTCAAAAAGAGATTTCACAGGTTGCTCCGAAGAAGCTGAAAACCTTAATGACTGACAAAGTCTGCCAAGCTGATATGGAGATTACTTCTCTTATGTGAGTAAATTCTGAGTCCGGAGAGTTTAAATTTTGTTCCAACAATTTTGATGGACTTAAATTTCTCTATGACCATCTTAACACCATCGAGGACGTTAACAAAGTGAAATCCATTGGTAGGCAGAAGATCACCAAGAATGTAAGCTCCTATCTTATGAGGTGCACCGTCCTTACTTACGAGTTGTTTGAATCCAACGATGATTTTGAGAAGACAAAGCTAAAACTGAAAGAAGAGATTACCCGACTACAAGAAGCTCATAGGGCTCAATCAGATAAGCTTTCTAGCTTGGAAAAAGAACTAGCCGACGAGAGGAAAAACAATGAGGCCCTTGAATATGAACATAAACTGACTTTATCAAAGGTTACCAAGGAGTTGAAGCAAATCAAGGCTTCTCATCAAGAATTTTTGGCTTCCAATACTGAGCTTACTGAGTCCCTTAAGAAGGCTCAGATTGAAGTTCTCTCTGCTGGTGACGAGGCTTTCGACAGGGCCAAAGACCAAGTTTTATGCCTTCATCCCGGGTTGGGTTTATTCGAGGTGGATTATTTCAAGGTGGTGCAGGATGACCGCCTTGTAGAAATGGATGAGAACTCAGAGAAATCTTCTACTCCTATCAATAATGACGGGTATGAGCACCCGGATGACACTGGCATGAATGACACCTTGACCGCTGATTGATTTTAAAGTTTCTCCTTGTTTTGACTAGACATCCTTTTGGATATGTTTTTGATGAATTTTTTGTTTTTGTAAGGGAGTGTGGTGTTGCCCCCCTTTTTCTTATGACTTTTCAGCCTTCGGGCTTTGTAATGCACAATACTTGGCCCTTTTGTGGCTTTTCTTAATGTCGTTTCTATTTATCATCATTTTAATTTCTTTGCAAAATAATTTTGTGTGTATATCTAGCCCATCGGGCACTAAGTTAGAATAACTTAACGTGTCCAATTATTAAGTACTAGACATTACTTTGCCTTTTTGCTTTGCTTAGTTTGATTCCTAAGACTTTTTGGATAGCTCGTTTCCCGACTATCTTTTATTAGAGCCCTATGCTATATAGCTTTGACACTTTAGAGAGTCCATAACTCTTATAGTCTTAGGTGCCGATTACGATGTTGACTTGGGTGTCCTTTTGTCAGAGACTTGCTCCAAGTTCTTTATAAGCCTTTGGCAGTTGGCCATGTATGATTTTGATACTCACAAGCCCCAAGTTTCTTTTGGTGTGATTAGGCTTGTGTATTTCATCATTTTCATAATTGACTATCCAGACTGTGTACGCGGAACAAACTGACATGCTTATAAGTGTTTGTTCAACCCGTGTACACGAAGCGTTTATGGACGACCTATGTACGCGGAACAAGTCAACACGTTTATAGGAGTTTAATCAAGCCTTGTACGCAGAGTGTTTATGGGCGACCTGTGTACACGGAACAAGTCAACACGTTTATAGGAGTTTAATCAACCCTTGTACACAGAGCATTTATGGGCGACCTATGTTGTCTTCAACTGAACCATCATGTGGGTCTATGTCGACCGGGTGAACTTTGAGGGTATTTTTGGGATCTGTTTCTCCCGTGGGTTCCTTCCTTTTCAACTTTAGGCTATCCTTATAACACTTTCTCGCCAGCCCCTAGTTGCCTTTGACAATACTAACCTGACCATCTCCGAGTGGGAATTTCATGGTCAAGTACAGAGTTGAAAGCGAAGCTTTCAGGGCGTTGAATGATGGGCGACCTATAATAATGTTATAGGGTGAAGCAACTTTGACTATCAGGTGCCTCACTCAGACGGTCTTCGCATTAGCCGTGTTGTCAAAGGTGGTCGACAACGCTAGGTGCCCGAGCACCTACACTTGTTCTCCTGAGAATCCTATTAGACTGCCTTTGAATGGTAATAACTCGGTCGTATTGAGCCCCATTCCTCTGAAAGCATCCCAATAGAGTACGTCAGTTGAGCTTCCGGGGTCTATCAATACCTTTTTCACGCTCTAGTGTCTTATTTATACTTAAATAACCATGGGATCATTTTTATGAGCTACGACTCCTATGACGTCTCGTTTTGAAAATGTTACAGCATCTAAGTTGCCTTTCGGTTTCTATGGAGATCTCTGGTCGATATGCATGACTCCCCTAATATATCTCTTTCTGGTCGAACTTATTTCTCCGCCACCAGCAAACCCTCTAGCGATGGTGTTTAGCGTGTGCCGAGCTGTCTTTGTCTCGTGACCCTCTTTAACATCTGGACTCTTCTTCTGGGATGACTTTTCTGGTCCTGGGTTGTCTCGGCAGGGGTTTCCCTTGTTATTTCATGGTTGAGAATCCTTCACATATGCTAAGAGATGACCTCTCTGGATTAGAGCTTTAATTTATTTTTTCAACTGTTGACAGTCCTCGGTGTGATGTCCCCGTATACGGTGGTAATTACACCAAGCCTCGGGTTGCCTTCCCATGATAGCGTTGGCTGTTTTGGGACGATGAGGCTCCGGTAACAGGTTCATATGACCGACTTCTTTAAGGATATCTCTCCTACTTGCATTCAATGGGGTGAGGTCTTTGTCCGGCTCATATGATTGTCTGTATAGTCTGGGAGCATGTCGCTCGCGCATAGCTACCCAAGGATGCTCTTTTCTCCTATTCGATGCCTCTTCCTTGCTCTTTGTCTTTTCACTACTGTCCCGAGATCTTTTCTCTTGGTTACTTTCTTCTCCTTTGATGTAGCACTCAACCTGAGTAGTGATCTCGTCCATGCTGATAGCCGACTTCTGAGCTAACGACTTATTGAATTGTCCGACTCGTAATCCATGTTGAAAAGCTCCCGTAAATAGTTCCTAGTTTGGATGAGATACTTTGAGGGTTTCCTCATTGAATTGAGCCAGGTACTCACATAATGATTCCGATTGTTTATGTCGAACACTGAACAGTGTGGTCGTGGACATGTTCTGGCGCTTGCTTGCCGAGAAGTGTTGTACTAACTTCTTAGTCAAGTCTTGGTAGCTTACGATGAAGAGCCGAGGAAGGCTCATGTACCATCTTAGATCTACATCCTTAAAGGTACCACCCATGAGTTTGCACTTCAATGAATCCGAAGGGGCAACTATGGCCATCTGATTGTTAATGGCAATAACATTCTCCTAAGGATCTGTCTTCCCATCATAAGAGGTTAGTGATGGTGCTTTAAAGTTTTTTGGGACGTGGTCGTCCCATATCTCTTGAGAAAGAGGTTGTGGCTCGAGAACCTCCTCCTCATGGTCGCCGTCAGCCTGACTTTGTTGTTGCAGAACACTTATGCTGTCTTGCAGCGTCTCATTCTGCTGACGCATGGTCTCGATCATGGCTAGCAGTTGAGCCATGTCTGGAGGATCTCCTTCAAAGGACATGTTGTTAGTATAAGGTATGGTCTGAGAGAGTTTTACCTAGACCTCACGGTGGGCGCCAAATGTTCTAGCAAAAAATGGTTAGATACACCAAAAATGCTAATTCCCCTTGTCCTGGACAAGAAGAACTACACTATCTATATTGTGAGGGATATTTGGGGATTTGAGAGCTACACTTATGCTGTGTATTCTTAAGATGATTGTGTTTTGCTTAACCCTCATGTGGGAGCCCCTTTTATAGTCTTCCATTAAGACATGCCATTAAGAGAAGTCTCTTGACCTTCTGACGTTACATGACTATCATTGCTGTAACTCCCCTTCATGAATGTAGGCTTTGAAGCTCTGGTAACGTCCGAGTTGATGCGCCTCCACCGTTACAACTGTTGGTATGCCAGTTGAGCTCATGTTCGGCGTAAGTACTGAGTTGATGGGGTCTGCACTCAACTTTGTAGGAGCTCGGGTGATGGAGTCGGGTTCTGTGACCGGTCCAAATTATATGAGATACTTACCTAACTCTCTGCATTGCTCGACCTTTTTTGTTATCGTAATCTAGTTCATGATTAACTTTGTCCGGCTACACAACTCGACTTAAAATATATTTGACATATATAAATATTATTCTCAATGTTGATGTATTCTATTTTTTTCGGTTGATGTAATATAATTAAAAAATCAATTCATTTACACTTTCAAGATAATTTACTCTTATTTACCATGTCACTCATTTCACTTGTTTGAAATATTAAAAATGTAATTTATAGGACAGAACGAATCAGATATAAACAACAAAGGATACATAAATATTACTTTCAATATAACTCTATCGTACAAAATGATTTAAATCCACTCAGACTCATAAGTACTTATTCTAGGAGTAAAAAAGAGTATTGCGAACATTTTTTTAATTTAAAAAAAATTGTTTCATGGTGATCCACTTAGGTAATCTAACTACTGCAACGCCTATGTAGCTAGCACATATCCAATAGAAGATACTAGAAGCCCTTTAAGTCGAGAAAAATCTAGAGCCAGACTCATAACTTAACTCGCCACTATACGAGTCTTCAACATAAAAACCGAAGAAAACAAAACACCGCGCCGCAGTCACAGTCTCAAACAAAATGGAGCCATCCAAGCTGAGAGAACTGAAGCATTTCATCGAACAGTGCAAGTCCAATCCTTCAACTCTCTCCGATCCTTCACTTTCTTTCTTCCGCGACTACCTTGAAAGGTTAATTTCGTCCATTTCAATAGTAACTACCATTTCTATTTCAAATCGCACTTAATCAACTTACAAACCCTAAATACTTTTTTTTTTGGTTATAAATTTCAGTCTCGGCGCTAATCTTCCCGAATCTGCTTATTCCAAATCGGTAACCTATAAATATTTGATTTTTTCCCAACTTCTATTGATTGTGTTTATTGATATGATACATTATGATTTGTTTATATATTTGTACTGTAGAATCCCGTGGAGAGCGATGATGATATTGATGATGTTGAGGAAGAGGCAGTGAAGGTGGAGGAAGTAGAGGAAGATGAAATTATTGAGTCTGATATTGAGCTCGAGGGTGAAACAGTAGAGCCTGATGATGATCCTCCACAAAAGGTATTATTTTTTTTTTGTGGTTTTTATTTTAAATTGATTGTGGTTGATTTATGTTGAATTTGAGCTTTGGATTGATGCGGAGGTGTGTCTTGTTTTAGATGGGAGATTCTTCTGTTGAAGTTACTGAAGAGAATCGTGAGTCTTCGCAGTTGGCTAAAGCTTTAGCCATGGAAGCCATTTCAGAAGGTAACATAACAATCACTCTAAACTGGATAATAACGATAATTTATATGTAGATGTTATATGATATTTTTAGGGTTACTATTGTTGGGAGGTGGATGCATCAACAAACAATGCACGAGAAATAAGTGAATCTATGGCCGGCAAGATTTTAAGTTGGTATTAAGGAGAACTATGGCCGAGTGCTGTCAATGTAGACTTGATTGCGGTAGAGGTGCAATTACAGAGACAAAAAATTAATTGTGACCCATATCATGGGCGCAAACCTGTATTTTAAAACCCTGGGTCTGGGATCCTTACAAGGGATGAGAAAGTTCTATAATCCGAACAGTAACTATGTTACACTTTTTAAATGAATGAAGTTGCAAACCCTGACTGCTATGATACATAGGTGGGAAGGAATCAAGTACTATCTCAATTGGCTTGAAACAATTGAGTTGAGGGTTAGCTCTAGTCCTAGGAAAGGGTGTAAATATATTATAACAATTAACCACTAACAATTTGTCATTCAATAAACGGTGAGGACACGTGTATCAGTTTTCAGCTCTGAATGTTTGTATGTCTCTCTGGTGCAGTAGTTGTAACTAACATCTCTTGTCTTGGCATCGCTTATGTTGAGTCTGGGAGCCATCTCTAGTCTAATGCCAGAGGCATGCTCATCTATGTTATTTGTCATCTTGAAATTAATGCAAACATTTAGGCTGTGTTTGGATATTTAAGACAAAACAAAGCTACTTTCATTTGGCCCAAAATTTGAAGGGTAAGAAAGTGGTTGTAAGTGATGGAATGTATACCACTCCATTCGATTTTAACTAATCCAGACAATGAAATTTTATTGCATTCCCCCATCTGATTTTAACTTATCCAATCAAATTTCATCACATTCTGTCAATCCAAACAAAGCCTTAGAGTGTAAGTGTTTAGGCAATTCTACACATGTGATATTGATCTACAAAGAGTTCATGTATCATGCATCGACACATGGTTGCACCCTTGTTAATGTGATCAGAGCACTATCAAAGTATATGTTTTTACCATACACACTACTAATCATTGCAATGGTTTCAGCGTTAGCAGTATATGTTCCAAGACCAGAATCTATAGGAGTATACTTTGAATTTCCGCTGTAAAACTTTGCTCTTAAAAATAACAAACAAACAAAGAAACACTATGCTTGGAATTAAACTTAGTACATGTTTTGAAAACAATGCCACTTTGCCATTCGCCACAATGTAACATGAATAATTAAATAATCCAAAAGTTATATACACCTATTCTCTATGAATAATTAAAGAACTTGTTTATACCAGTTCATGCAGTTTGAATATTTATTATTTTTCAATGGTAGTTTGTAATGGGATGATGTTTCGAAGGGATAAAATTCTCTGCAAACACATGTTACTTTTTTGAGCAGCTGAATTTGCTTATTGTCACCCTAAAGTCACTTATTGATAGTCCAATTTCAAACATCTTTCAAATGTTTTGGGCCTTGACAGGTAAGTTGGAGGAGGCAATTGAGAAGTTGACAGAGGCAATTATACTCAATCCTACCTCTGCCATAATGTATGCAAACCGAGGTATGACTTGATTTTATTGTTTGCTTTTTACATGCACGCTCTAGTTTTTTTTGGCTCTTACTGTCCATTGTAAACATTCATTATGATGTATTTTTCTTATATACAGCCAGTGTTTACATCAAAATGAAGAAACCTAATGCAGCAATCCGCGACGCAAATGCAGCTTTGGAGGTTACACACTCTCTTTGTTGCTCAACATGATAAACTGAATTATACTTGCTAGACTTTAAATAGACCGTTGAATGTGGCTTTCATGTATAAAACTCTTCTTGCATTATGTTCCAAAATGGCCAATGTTTATTTGAAGAAACTTATCTCAAAAATGAGAAAGGCATAGACTTCCAAATTGCTTAATGGGTTCCTTGCTTTTAATATTTGATCAATGGCAAATACACACTTCTTCGCTCCTTAGACAGACAATTTAAGAGAAGCTTTTTCTGCTTTGTAATAAATGCTTCTAGAAAATGTTTTTGATATGGGGGAAACTGTGGCATCTCAAATGCCAAATATTGTCGATGTGTTGCATTACCTATTTCCTTACCCTATAAACCTTCAATCTTTCTCCTTTTTTAAATTTGTTTTTTAATATTTTTTTAATAATTCCAATCATACAATGCAGATGAAGGGTTAAGAGTATATATGATTTTTAATGAAATTTACATGTTTTTCAATGGTCATAATGCAGAATCCATGTTATACTTCCCAGAATGCTGTATTATGTGTATGTAGCTTCTATCTGATATGCAGGCAATGATTTTTATATTCTATTGTTTTTTCCAGATTAATCCTGATTCTGCTAAAGGATACAAGTCACGTGGTATAGCACGATCAATGCTAGGTCAGTGGCAAGAAGCTGCAAAGGATCTCCATGTGGCCTCAAATATAGATTATGATGAAGAAATAAGTGCAGTACTTAAGAAGGTTTTCTTTCTCTCCCCTGGTACCACTCTAAAGAGATATTTTTCAATCTATTGTGGACTGAGAATTGATGAGTACAAAGATAATTCTTGTTTGAGTTGGCTAAATCCCACCTTACTGAATTTAGAAGTACCTGCACGTCCTTAAAATTTTAAGATGACATGATAGTTTTTAGCTTTGAAGGCTTGACTGAACCGTTTGAATATGGTATTTTTCTGTGAGATGATCTATGTGAAGCAAAAAAATATCTTTGTATACCAAACAAGATGATAGCATGGTATATTTAGTCATGCAATGGAAAAAATACATGATAAGAATGATAATGGGAAGTAAATGTACATATAGGACGGACAAGTTGATAATTTGAGAAATGAGCAAAAGTTTGTATAGGAGTTGTTAAGAATTAAGATATTTTCTGAAATCAGGATCAGATAGAATTTTGAAGAAAGATATGGGAACAGTGAACAAATTAACTTTTTGAGTAACTTTATATAGTTTTTTAAATTGGTAAAAGTCTATGTTTGCCCATCCAATTCTAGATCTTTACTTGTCTTTTCCCCTACTATCTGATATTAGATACACCTAAAAGTTTGTTTAAGTCCTGCTTAGCTAGTGTGCATATTGATTCTTTTGAATATTATTTGGCTTGCTTGACACTTACAACCTTTCTTAAAGTGGAATCATGCATTTTATGAATGCTGTGTAAATGGTAATACGATGTGTTTACTAGTTGGACTTATTTGGTATCTCATTGTAAAATTTGGATTGTCTAGGTTGAACCAAATGCCCACAAGATTGAGGAACACCGTCGGAAGTATGATAGGTTGCGCAAGGAAAGAGATGAGAAAAAAGCTGAGCGTGAGAGGCTACGTCGCCGTGCTGAAGCTCAGGTTTTCAAATTTGCTGGACATGCGAAAAAAATAGCATGCTACAAAATGTTACATGCATGTGTGATATAGCTGTTGCTAACTTATTATATATTCCAGGCTGCGTATGAGAAGGCCAAAAAGCAAGAACAATCATCTTCTAGTAGAAATCCTGGAGGCTTTCCCGGTGGCTTTCCTGGTGGGTTTCCCGGGGGCATGCCTGGTGGATTTCCCGGGGGCATGCCAGGTGGCTTCCCTGGAGCTGGAGGCATGCCGGGTGGATTCCCTGGGGCTGGAGGCATGCCAGGTGGATTCCCTGGAGCTGGGGCTGGAGGCATGCCAGGTGGATTCCCTGGAGCTGGAGCTGGGGCTGGGGCTGGGGGCATGCCAGGAGGGGTGCCTGGAAATGTTGATTTTAGCAAAATCTTGAATGTATGTAAATCTGTACTTCCAATGTTTTTGTGTGCTTCTGAACTGCTAAAAGAAATTTCTCACTCACGCACGGAAATGGATTATCCCTGCCTCTCAGAGTCATGACCACACATACACAAACACTATTCACATGTTTTAGTCTTGATGTAAAATGTTCTTTAACATGTCACTCAGGACCCAGATCTGATGACGGCATTTAGTGATCCGGAGGTCATGGCTGCTCTTCAAGATGGTAATTTTCTGTTCTAATACCTGGTTCTATTCTTTTTCTTTTTCCTGAAGTTTCATTTTTTTTTCATGAATTTTACGGGTCAAAGCATGAACTTTCATAAGCACCTTATATATCAGTTTTAGAATCACAAAAATCTGCTAAAACCTAAGGACAAAGTGATATTCAACGGTCACGTTTGTATTATTTCCCCTCACATGCTTCACTATGCATGATGTCCCTAGAGATCTTGTGTATCAATGGAGATCATGTATATGACTGGATGTTGGTAAACTTTGTGGCTTGTTTGGTTCAAAGGTTGGGAAGAAGGTGAGAGAAGAGGATGATAACTCTTTTTTGGATGATTTGAAGGGAGCTTTTAGTTAAGATTGGAGTTTATATTGAGTTAATTGGGATTTTGCCCTCTTCCGTTCCATCCATTTCATCTTCTTCCAACCAATGTTTACTACGAAGTTGGAAGATGGCTGTCACTTTTTAACACATTGCTGTATATCCCCCATTTTTAGCTGTCTTCTCAATGAAAAAAACATAACTCCCTCATTTGTCCTTTTTGGTTGAGTGCAGTTATGAAGAACCCTGCTAATTTGGCCAAGCATCAAGCTAATCCTAAGGTGGCCCCTGTTATTGCAAAAATGATGAGCAAATTTGGAGGTGCCCAGTGAACACAATCTACATGTTTGAGATAGATTTTAGCATTCTAGGCCTCTGCCTTTGAGTATTTAATATTTAATGTTAATGTTAATTATGTTGCAGTTTTTATGTACTATTGATATATCAACAGACTTTTTTCGGTATGGAAAGCCTGATTTGTAGGTGTTTTTTGCTCACGTTCTTTATTTGTCAGCACATAATCATTTCCGATTGAATTTGAGTAAGTTATAAGGGAAAACTGTTATTTAGTACTATTAGTTTAAGAAATTAGAAATTGATTTTTATCACTAATATCTCATCCACTGGACCAAACTTATCTTGTTTGGTGTCAGTTATAAATATTACTTCAATTTTCCAAAATTTTTTTGTAGTGGTGGCTGAAGATTAGATGGGTGTGTAACTTTTTTAGTTTAACCATTCTATAACCTGGATTTGTTTTTTTAATGGTATTCTCTCTCTCTCTCTCTCTCTCTCTCTCTATATATATATATATATATATATATATATATATATATTTGATTTCTCAAAAAAAATAAAATAAAAATAAACGAATGATTTTATAGTATATAAATGAATTTATCTTTTGGTTCTTTTTAAGTTTTTGTTCCCACCGAAAGTCATTTTTATTAATGCCATTTTAATAATCTTTTTAATGATTTTAGTTTTTGAAGAATTCATAATTCTTCTGAAGTCAATTTATTTTAGATAATGTATTTTTTAGTTATTTTTTTAATATTATTTTGATACATAATTTTGTTCTCAGTTTCTAATATTGGATTTTTCTGTTCTTTTTTCTCTTTAACTTAAGAATTATTCTATCTTTTAATTTTGATTCTTGTTTATCTCTTTGAGTTGGAGAATTTAACTTGTGACTCCCATTTATATTGACATTCCATTTATATCTGATATCCTTACAGTTTTAAATTTTTTGACAAAATTTAATTAAAATTTTTGTATGAAATTTTCGGTTGGCAAAATCATAATTTTAGGTACAATCTAAATTTTTTTGATATATCGGAATTTATAAAATTTTTGTGGATAATATCAAAAATTCTAAATTTATCATTTTATATCGAAAATGTAGTGTTATTTGTTTAAAATTTGGTCTAATATTTCTATTGGTCTCTTAATTTTATTCAATTTTTCGTTTTGATTCCTTAACTAAAAAACGTTATATAGTGGTCTATTAATTAACATTGTTACATATTTTGGTCTTTTTTGTTAATTCTTTATGAAAAAACGTTAAATGTAGTCTTGCTGGACCATTTAAAGCTGACTTGAATTTCTTTTTTAATTTTATATTGATTTAAATATTAGAAATAAATAAGATAAGAAGTTAAAAAGTATTAGGACAAAGGTCAGGATTAGTTTGCATCAGTTTGCTTCCAAAATTAAATTTATTGTGAGAGTTCAAAATCTGTAACTCAAGTTTGTTGAAGACGATTTTAAAATAGTTGACAAAAACAATAAAGTTTTAAATGAAAAGACGATTTGAGAAATATAGGTCGACCGAGACATTCAACTTGTTTAGAATGTTAGTTGATGATTCTATTCTTGATGTTTTTCGCAAAGAATTTGAGAATTGTGGTTGATTGCAAGGTAGGGGTTTTTCAACTTGTTTATAAATTTTGTTGATGATTTTGTTGAGATCTATGCTGATTTGTTCTAAGTTTGATTTTTTGCATGTGATAATGAAGTCTTGTATGATGTTTACTTTCTTACCCTCAAGCTCACAACTCCAATTTGTAAGTTATTTTTCAACTAATGTTTTTTAACCATTTTGCAGTCCAAAATAATGTTCTCTTTTCTGTATTTTTAGAGAAGTACATCTATTGTTTGTCGCGAGGATTGCAGAACTTGAGGTTTGGTTTTAGGATTTGTAAAATCTTTTCTTCATTGTTGATTTTGTGTTGTCACCATATGACCACTATAACTCGTTCTTCTTTTTCAATGTAGGAACCTTATAATGTTTCACATGATATAGAACGAAAACGGCACTGTTCATGGTCCTCTCCCAAATAAGACAACGAGAGAAAAGAGATGAAGAGGTCTTGTCCTTTAAAGGAAAAAATATTTTCACACAAAAACTTACTTGGAAGGCCAACTCAGCAATAGTTAACGTTTTTTCACACAAACTAATGACATGGCTTAAATGGTTTAACGGAAGTAAATTTAAAAGATTATTATGTAATATTTTTTAGTTCGGGGACCAAAACGAAACTTCTCTCAAAGTTAAGGGATCTAGGGACTAGTTATGCCTTGAAATTTTAAACGCTCAGGATTTTGCTGACAACTTTGGACGAATATGATTACACTGACAATTTTGTGTGGTCCAGAGTAAATACAAAGTTGCATAAATAAAGGGAGTCACCAGTTGTTTGATAAAATATCTCAAAAAAATTTAAAAAAATGTCTCTTTCTCAATTTTTGATTAAGGCAGAAGTGTACTTCAATAAAACTTCACCTCCTGTAGAGTTTCGACTTTCAAATAACATCACATCTCTTGTCGTCTTGACGTCCAAGTTGAATGAATTGTTGTCTAATACTGAAAACAGAAATGTGAGAAAGATAGAGTTTCGTGAAGATTAGATTGATACTAACGGAAGGTTGAACTATAACCTCATTGAGTTGATGACCGATGAAGACGTAAATGATATTTAGAGATCATTTCGTCATAGGTTAACAAAGGTGCCAGTCGAGTTAGATGTTAAGATTTTTAGGTTTGCCAACAACCTAATTAAGATGGTGAAACGTTCATAATCATTTGGTAGTGTCTAAATTTTCTTATTTATTATCCTTTTTCAATGTTATGTTTAAGTTATGTAATCCATTGCAAAATGTTAGTTAATGTTGCATCAATGAGAGATCAAAAATATTATCTAATAAGAAGTTCTGATGAAGATGTCTGAGTAATGTTACATGTAATATACAAATAATACATAAAGCTGATAATAATATCTAAGTAGGTTCCCCACGAGCTATGTGTGCAGTCCGAGATAATCCAGTATAAACCTCGCCATATGAGTTTAACAAACCCATAAGGTTATCCATAATAACTACAATCATCTGGAGGCGCTGCTAGTTATCGGTATTAGTTGTAGGAGACGACAGTGACATATCATCGACAAGTACCTTAACATCAGAAGGGAAACATCATCTGTATGTTCAACAAGTGGGATGATATGAGTAGGGATGGCAAAAAAGCCCGTGCCCGCAGGTATCCGCGGATATAATCTGTCACAGATACAATGTGAATAGCTTAATGGATATCCATGGATAAAATAAATGGATATTTAAATATCCGTTATTTAATGGATGTGGATGCGGGTTTAATGATACCCGTACCCGCGGATATCCATACCCGTTAATAAATTATAAAAAGTATTTAAATATTTTTAATTTATTATAGACGTCATTACATGTGTATTGCTTATTTTGGATATTTTATTTGGAATCTTTTAAGCTTTTAATTTAGGAGCTAGGAAATCAAAGTATGAATGTTAAGCAAGGAATGCATAATATCGAATTTTGTAATGATTGATGAAAATTATTTGCATTATTACTTTTTTTTATTTAAACAATTATTATATGGTATGATGAATTTTATTTTGTTAAAAATGAAATGTATGGATATTGTGTTTGAATGTTATTATGTTTTAGTGAAAAAAGAATAAAAATAATATGATGAAGTTTAGTTGTTAAATTGAAAGCGAAAAAATATATTTTTAAAAAATAATTTTAGACAAAAAAAGTTATTCATGGATATCTGTAAATATCTGCGGATACCTTAAAATCCGTGGATTACCCGCTTAACTGATATCCGCATGGATATGAGGCAGATACGGATATCATATTTATCCAACGGGGCAGACACGAATATCATACTATCCGCCCCCATGGATATCCATTTACATCCATAGATATGAGGGTATGATACAATGAGGTATCACTATAAGTAGCCATCCTCACACTGTAAAGGGGTGCTAAACTGTAACTGCGCAATCTCTAATGGCACGGTCAGAGCTGATGATGTTACTATGAAACCACCAACCAATTCTCGCATATGGTATACTTGGAACTGGTCGTGAGATATTCTGAATATAACCATAATGTCGCAGACATCTCTCAGGCAAGTGTCTAGCAATCATGGTCTCCCACTACATATAACTTGAATATAAAGAAGACTTATCAAACTCACAGCGGACTCTTTGATCAGTGTATGGTGTCCAAATGAAATTATCTACAGTCAACGCATTTAGCCTCATCTTGTACTCAGCAACACCACCAGGATGTGACTGCCTGACCCTCTATCTTCTAGCCCGTGGGCCCCCACTAGGGAATGCTACACCATTCTGTCACAAAGGATAGGGAAATACTCGTATATGCGACACTGATATCAAAACACAAACACAATAAATAATAATTAAGAAATTTTATTCATAACATTTAAATACGCAATCAACAACTGTAACAGACTCAAATAACCAGCAAGCTGTCTGATCTCAAATACTATCGCCACTCCAAGTGCTATATACAGGAATTTATCATAAGATGGAATTTGGGACAACACCTCAGTAAAAGGAATGTTGATATATATATATATATATATATATATATATATATATATATATATATATTTCAAAACCTCAACAAAATTCTTAAAATTCTATTCTATCTCAGCTTTTACAATTCTCTGCAAAAATGGGATAAAAGGCTTATATGGTGGGGAGGTGTTGCACCCTAAAATTTGTCCACCGATTTTCCAACTTTGACTGGCTTTTGCTTCGTTTTCATCTGCATATCATTTAGGTCGCATTTTGCCCGTGTTATTAGCCGGATTGAATTTATCAGGACTTTAGCCGCTTTGCTCGCGTTTCAGGCGATTCAATCAATTCAAACGAGAAGTTCAATGTTGAAATCGAGCGAAAAGTTGCCCTCCTCTTGATAATTCAATCCATGTTGATGACATCGGCGCATTTCGGTGCCCGCCCGTTTTTTCATGGCATTTTGC